AGTGGGTGGTAGTCAAAAGATTACAGACACATAATGGATCCAGGGACCGGGACGCAAAGTTTAATAACTAAACAAGTTGCAGTGGTAATGAAATTTTTACATATATATGTTTGGTTACGATCGTAAGGAGTTATTTATACAGACATGAATGAAGTCACATTTTAACAAGATATCCTTGTTGTAAAAAAATTAAGTGATCATGCGGTATCTACAGTGAGCAAAGTCAGGGTATTTTTCCAGAATGATTGATAATGTGACTGTGTGGATAAAATACCTGCCACATAATGACGCAAGGTGTGACAGCTGTCCATCTGGCAAAGTTTTTTTGGTCTCAAAATTTATATTTGCTTATTTTTGTATAATCAGACAATGTACATGTATTTTTTTTTATCTAGATGAGTAAGGCATATTGTAAATGCCAAGGGACCCAGCACCGAGCCCTGTGGAACCCTGCTCGTGACTAGTTAAAATTCAATTTCTCCATTTTAAAGCAAACTCTCTCTATTGCCTGTCATTCAGCCATGCCTCAGTCTATATGGGAACACTAAACCCTTAGGAGTCATACAGCGCTTGGGAGAAATTGGAAGCATTCAGATTTGATCCAAGGAAGGAGAGCATATGGTCAATTCCTGAGATCACTAGCTCCTCGCCGGCACCGAGGATCCTCCCTTGAGAAGTCAATCCTTAAAAGAATTTCTTCAATGTTGTGTGCTGCCCTTTTCTTTATGGCGTTCTATCAAAAGCTGCATTGAGATAAGTCCAGTTAAACAACATTGCCGTGGTCGATCGTTAAATACTCAGGCAAGAACGACGTATTATAAATACCGGTTGAGTCTCCTTGATCAAGTTACATTTATTAAGATGTTTATCAAATTGTATCTTCTTGTAGGCTCGCCGGTGATGCCCCGGCCCGGGTCTTCTCCAGATGGTGACCCGGCTAAATTGTATCAATTTTTATTGATTCCAATAATTGGTCCACTGCTAAGATCAGGCTGATGGGTATTCATCTCTCGCTCTGTACAGAGGTATAACAGACCGTCTTCCACATCGGCACAATTTTCATTTGCATTGACAAAATGAAGAAACTAGTGAAACGTTGACCAAGTTCCTCACAGTATTCTTTAAGAACCATTAGAAAAACATTGTGCAGGACTCTCTGATCGCGGGTTCTAACCCTACCCTGCACACAGAAATCACTCCCTACGAAAGTAAAAGACTGGGCAGGCGATGCAAAATGCCCCCAATAAAAAGTAGGGGCGTCATTGGTACACTAAGGGAAAACACCATAAGTGTCCGGGGCCCAAAACTGTTCAACAGCCTCCCATCAAGCATTAGGGGAATTGCCAATAAACCCCTGGCTGCCTTCAAGAGAGAGCTGGACAGATACCTAAAGTCAGTGCCGGATCAGCCGGGCTGTGGCTCGTACGTTGGACTGCGTGCGGCCAGCAGTAACAGCCTAGTTGATCAGGCCCTGATCCATCGGGAGGCCTGGTCATGGACCGGGCCGCGGGGGCGTTGATCCCCGGAATAACCTCCAGGTAACCTCCAGGAGGTATGGATTGTGCAGCGGCCCGAGGCCTTGTTTGTTTACAATGTTTATCTGAGAACCATGCGTCGTGTAGCTGAGTTTTTTGCGTAATTTTTCATGATTCATTGTGATTGTTAATTTCTGGGGTTTTATTTGTATCATCATGCGTGTAAAGAGATAGTAAATAATAAAACCCTGTCCTTCACATTATCGACAAGTTATTTTAAGTTACTTTACTGCATCCAAGGTGCCCCGTGGCCTGGTGGTAAAGCTCTCGCTTCACACGTTGAGGGTCCGGGCTCGATTCTCGACAAAGGGGTGGAAACATTGGGCGTGTTTCCTTACACCTGTTGTCTATGTTCATCCATCAGTAATAATGGGTACTTGGGTGCTAGTTGACTGGTGTGGGTCGCATCCTGGGACAAAACTGACCTAATTTGCCCGAAATGCTCAGCATAACAAGCTGCGTTCTATATAGTAGTATGTCATTGATGATGTACTTGTAGAAAATAGATATGTTATTATTATTATTATTATTATTATTATTATTATTATTATTATTATTATTATTATAAGCGGTAAACCCGTGTGTCATTCAGGGAATGGAAAGTAGGCTTCATTCCCCTTTTGCTACTCGAGGTCAAGTCTTCCACCGATATTATTACTGAATGAGAAAGACACAATACCGTTACTTGAACAATACACAAATAACCAGCACATAGCAGAAAGTTATGATGACGTTTCGGTCCTACTTGGACCATTAACTAGTCAGTGAGTGGATGGTTAATGGTTCAAGTCGGACTCAAACGTCGTCATAATCTTTCCTCCTATGTATGTGTTATTATTCTTAGGGGAAGCTCTAAACCCGTTGTGGTCAGATAGTGCCTGGGGAATGGGAGACAACCAGGTTTGATGCCGGGAAGAAGGGAAGTTCAATTCCTTGGATCAAAACCCGTCTTTTCAGTAACTTTTGTTCTATGCATCTAGAAGAAAGTTTAACGATTAGTCTTAAATTTCCTAGCAACTTTAATTCCACATTTTCATTTAGTTTTTCTTAACCCATTTTTATACTTTTGTTAATTTGAACATATTGCCGCATAAGATGACCCTCCCCCTTTTTTTATGCACCTGTCGATGCATATTTTTGTTAGCCTCTTGTTTATCTTTGGGTCATTTTTGTTTCATGTGATTTTTTTGTTGTTGTTGTTGGGAATAAATATTGCTCAAGTAGCTTTTACAAGAGTTTGGATAAAGTCATATTGACAATACTTTTCGTTACTGTTGACCAGGTGCTCATGGAGAACATTTTTAGTCAGGTTACTCTGGTCAGCACCAGCTGACCTCACTTGTACACTGACCCTAACATAAGAAAGAAGGAACACTGCAACAGGCCTATGCGAGGCAGGTCCAATTCTCTCACCGGCTTAAGCCAATGCCTTGACATAGTCAGGTCAGTCACGTCACTTACGAAACATCCTCGTTATAGTTCCGTGAAACATGGCAGATCCGTAATGGCTTTTTCTAAGCAATCTGGCGATATCAGGTGATACTTTCTTGAAGCAGCGTACTGAACCACCAACTGCCAAACTTATTCTCAAAATTTCTGAGTTATTTTTGTCAAAACTGGATACACGAGGAATGTGCTGCTAGCCTACTCTACATGACAGTCACGTAGTGAAGAACAAAAGCAAATAATATTTTCCGGTTCTATTCAATCTGACAGGATTAACCGGTTTCATGCATCAGGTAATGAAATTTTATCAGGCTGAGCTGGGAGACTTCAATAGTGCGATGAGGATTTCGTCAAACATTCCACTGTTGGCTCCTTAGCTACTGCAGCTTAAAGGTTGCTTTCCAGCAGACTTGGAGTTACTACTACCTGTTAATTACCATCTTTTCCACAATTTCCGCGTCACAACGGTGGTCAGAGCAACGGGAGTTAAGGAACGACTCTCTCTTCCTTCGTGGAAGATGTTTCAACAACAGGTGAATGGAACCATGTGGTCTCAATCACATATCTCGCTTTTGTACTGATTTATACAGAAATTACATTAAAAATATCATAACTGTTCTGGAGAATTGTTTTGTTAGGTTTAAAGTCTAATTCACGGCACACAAGTCACTAAAGTTGGAAGTTACTTCTGTACTCTAACAGTCGGTTTACTTTAAACCTTAACGTAGGAATTAATTTAAAATCCCAAGTACCGTGCCGTACCTCTGGGGTCCAGTACCTGGATCCATTGTGTACCTCTGTAATCTATTAACTACCGCCCACAGGATGTGTATGGGGTGACTACCTCCCACAGGATGGGTATGGGGTGACTGCCCCCCACAGGATGGGTATGGGCTGACTACCGCCCACAGGATGGGTATGGGTGAATACCGCCCACAGGATGGGTATGGGGTGACTACCGCCCACAGGATGCGTATGAGGTGCATAATAAAGATATTAACTAGCACTAAAAAAACGTGCCGTACCGTGCAAGACAGCTCTGAGTATATATATTGTCTCAATTGTAGGTGACAGTTAAAATTTAATGCATTAATCTTGAGAACATTCTAGGCCAGGAAAGAGACAATTGCGACTCTCTCCTTCAAGCGTCGAGACAGTTCTGAAACAATAACTAGAAGCAGCTGTTTCCTCTGATGTTATGCTCCCCTCAAGGAAGGTTCCTTGATGTTGGTGAGGGGCTCTTGATTTAGGGAATTGGATCTGTGCTCCAGTTCCCCAAATTAAGCCTGAATGCCTTCCACATCCCCCCAGGCGATGTATAATCCTTCGGGTTTAGCGTTTCCCCCTTGATTATATTAATAATAATAATAATCTGATGTTATGCTATCCAGAGTCTGGCAATGTTATGTTGTTATCCAGAGTCTGGCAGTAAGTTTATTCAGGTATACACACAGTTAATGGATTATTATACATAACGGCATATGTGTAGAGAACGTACAATAACCCAAAAAAGTCAAAGTGACTTATTTGCATTGTGTTGCAGTTTTATATACTTCCCTCTTTCCTAAATATTTCTAATAATTCTGGTAAAATATAAAAGTGAAGAGAAAGTTTCCTTCATCCCCAGGATGTAGAATTGTCAACGTACAGTGGAAATTTATTCCCATTGTGAAACGAAGCCTAACATTAATGAAATCTTGAGGCGGTTTTGCTAGTATATACAACTAAATTATAAACTTCGTGCCCGTACATGCAAATATTAAAAAATATTCAAACAATAACATAATACACACGATGGTAAATTTGGCAACAATGTCGACAATACTTTGAACACCTCAGTTACCATCCATTTATATATATATGGATATTAATGGACTTCCTTCATCACGCACATTTTTATAAGCTGCATACAGAGCTTAAGACACGGAGAGACGATTTTAATAAATAGGGTAGTAAGTTAGTGGGAAGATGGTGTGCCCCGCCCAGTGTGGGAGGAGTGTTGTTGTGGAGGTGATGAGGTGGGTAGTGCAGCAGTGATGGTTCAGTGTAGTGTCACCAACACAACTAGCAAGATGACGCTCAGCACGGCTCTAGCTACTGTCTTCTTCCTCGTCTCTGTCAATGCCTTGAGAGAAGATAGGATGTTTAATAGAGAGTTCTACAGAGACCCTGATAAAGTGTAAGTATTTCTTAAGTGTCTTTAAAAGCTTGAGTAGAAATATTCTAACGCACACTAACCTATTTCGATACATCAGATATATAATTTTTGTGAATTAGGGCCGAATCTGAGGTTCTCGTCGAGAATGGTGCCTAAAAAAATATTTGTTTTATGGTCTCTTGTTGATTCGTAATATTGACAGTGGTTATGACACTAATATTTTCTAAATTACTTTCCCCTCCTCTCGAGGGGATGGGTTTTGCGGTTACCTTTGACTATAACAATAATCCTCAAGGGAGGATTTTTACGCTGAGGACTCAATCCAAGGAACTGTTTTTGTCCCTCCCTTGGATTAAACCTGAATCTCTTTCCTTAGGGTGTTATATTGTCTTACAGATTTAGTGTTTTTTCCCCCCACAAAAATGGAAAATGCTCGCGAAACTAATGTAATACTTAACATGAAAGTTCCCATTTTAGATTCAGATCTATTCAAAAAAAAACTGAACGATCAAGTAACTTCGGTGATACTTGTGAAACTCCCATACAAAACTTAATGATACCGGAACTTAAATAAAGATTAAATTGTAGAAGCTATTTATCATATATTCTGAACTTTTTCAGTAATTGTTGGGCAATAACTAATATTTTGGTTTATAAAGACAAAAGACCCATGCTTGGCAAGTCTGGTTCCCCCAACCACATCCATTCGGATAAATGAGAATGCTGGTTATGGCAAAAAAGTCATAACACTCATTATCTTTATTTACCTTTTTATATATCCGTTTAACATATATTTAAAGCTACCCAAAGTTCTTGCCCCAGTGACGCTACATAGGAGTTTGTGCCACTCTTGCATAACTATTGCCAAACCAATGCTTCCCTCTGTCCCTTCTTAAAAATTGTCCAACTTTAATCCATTGCTTGAGCCCTGCTCTGATTACTTCAAACATTTTTTTTTATACTCTTTATTCCGGTTTTTCATTTAATGACTCCTTTTTGGGTTAGTCTAGATAATCTACACATGTTAAACCATATATGATAATTGTACCTATGTGTACTTGTAACTAAACCTGCTTTCCCAAGTTCACATTCAGTGCCTTCAACCTACCTTCATAGGAAAGGTTTCTTCCCGCTGTATATTTTTCCAACGCATTTATAAAAATTATGTAATAAATACGGAAACCGGAACTGAGCAGCATGCTCTGAAACTTTGCTAAAAATATAAATGTATATGAAATTTAAGTGTAACCTTTAGGACTATTATTTATACTTCTCGATATGACGTCAAGAACCCTATTAGTACTCAGTTTGAGCGCTAGGTTATTTAACCTATAGGTTTAGCCTTTCGGTTCTCATGGTTCGTATGTCCTGTACTTTCCTCCATATGCACAGATAGTGCGGCATTAGATTATCAGAGATATTAGTTGCTCAGTAGTTTGTAGTACTTTACTATTTCCTAGGATTAGACTAACGTCCATGTACCTTTTTAGTGAAGGTTAATAAAGGCAGTGGATGTATGGAGACTTGCCTGTCTCGACCTGCCCAGGGCAATACTGAGGATGTAAACTATCCTAGTGTGATTATCTTTATTCAACAATATATATTAATCTACCTGGCTTATATATATATATAATTAAGTATAAAAGTAGACTAATTAAATGTTGCAGCAGCCACGGAGGCAATATCGTAAATTGTATAGACTGTTAGCGGAATTTTACTGCCCATACAGTAATATTTCTTTCATGGGAGGTACCCTGATGCTGGTTGGGGGTTCTTAATCTAAGGAACTGGTTTTTCCCTCCTTTAATTCGAATCTAACTTGATTGCCTCCCATTTCCTAAGCGATATATGATCCCTACGTGTTTAACACTCTCCCTTATTACAATAGTAGCACTAAGTTCATTTAGGATGATTGGCGCTGCTCAATAAAATTCGTTGGAGGGAATCTAAGTTAACTAACAACTAAAAATTTCTGCGTATTCTTTACTATTACCTTTGTGTTTACTAATAATTTTATTCTTTTAGTATTTTTAAAAATTAAATAAGCCTGGTCAGAGACTGCTGCGAGGAAGATGATAATCAGCACAGTTAACCTAAACAAAAACCGGTAAATTTTTATGTTGAGACTGCATCTCCGTTGAAACCAAAATCGACGACATTCTGTGAAAATCTCTAGAAATATTCTCTTCTAACTCCCAGGGGCTGTGATCGCTCCTTAAAGGTTGATTGCTTCCCCGTGAATAAAATCAGTAATCTAATTTTTAAGACTTGCATATATAATACACTGGTTTAGTTTTCTGTTTCGAATCTTATATTCATTGGAAACATTTGAACCCGTCAGGGTCATACAGCGTCCGGGAATAGGAGGTAATAGTTTGATCCAAGGAACGGAGAAAAGTTGTAGTAAAGCTTTCTCTGAAAATGACTATGTAGAACTTGATGAAGTGATTACAAAGCTTTGTACGTAGCGAAACTTCGCAATAAAATTGTTTTGTAACTTGTTAAAAGATATTAGAGGCGCAGTACGAGGTAGCCTATCTGGTGCACACTGCTAACAAGTATTTTCTGACTTGTCCAGAGGACTGATGGTTATGGATGTCAGCCATTATAGCTTTAACTGCTCAGTTTAATATTTCATGTATTCTAATTACTCTGCTTATTTAATAAACAGGAAATGCAAAATAATTTCATAGAACTTCTGGTTAAATTGTTATTCAAAGAAAAACGCTAAGCCTACTGGTGTCACATAGCGCTTGGAAAACTTAGGATCTGATTTATTTCCCAGTCTTTTATTAATTGGTGCACAGGCAAAAAATGGAGCTTGATACATATTCGCTTGGTCTTTAACAGACAAAATACGATGTTTCTAGTTAGCTATATTAGCAGCACGCCTGAATACATCTACATAAAATTAACTCTGTGACCGCTTTTTCAAGTTCAGGTCTGCAGGGCAGGGGGTTTGCAGCTGACTAGCGGTCAAAGAATCTGTAATCGCATTTCAGCAGATATTCCTGACATGGTAACCCCGGCTTACCAAGTGTCACGACCTTGCTGGGTCTTGGAAAGCTTCTTCCCCATACCTCTAGGTCACCGTTATGCGTTGTAACTTGTGCTTTTAAAGCTTATTGGCGTTAGTTATTACACGCAATAAATATCTTTCAAGTTTTCTCTTAACATTCTAACATTGTAATACTCAGGCACCGTCACTTTAAATCTTGCTGAACGTCTAGAAATACAGACATTTAGCAATATTTACAGTGACTGCCTGGGTATTAATGTTTAGAAATGAACAAGTACAGCCTTTTTAAAGAGCCTCGTGTAGTTGACCTAACAAACTATGACCAAAACTAAATTATATACTACTACAGCTAGTGTACATTTTATTTATTATATTCCTGCAAGTGCTAACTAGATTACGTGTTGTTAAGTTCAAAATGTTGTGAAAACGTGTTATATTAAGTTTTATAACCTGCACGAACTGTATCACTGTAGACGAGCATTTCTTCCTCCATGGAAGATGTTCATTTAGTATTACATACTAGCCACTTCCAAGAAGCTCATCACTAGTAATCCCTTCCTTAAATATCTTTCAAAGAGGATTGCGCAAGAAATGTCCGTTTAACTACTGTTAATATATTGCAAATAATATAGGCGCTGGATCTAGAAAAGTCTCCCGGCTCTTGTTGCCTCCTCCCTAGATAATGCCAGCATGTCGAGTTAGACATAATTAACTAGGCGTCAATCCTGCAAACTGAATTGGTTGCCATCGTATTGGCACTAAGTTAACCTCTGACACTGAGCTTGGCTCTACATAATGACTAACATACTCATTGGAGAAGCTAGATAAGTATACTAAAAAAATCGTGAAGAATCATTGAGCAATTTTTATGGATTGTCAGTGAATTTGTCCATGATTAAGTTGGTAAGTTTTGGCACGTTTAGGTAAAGTACCCTGAAGGAAAGTGTAGAATATAAATTTTGGTATGTCGGTATAGCATTGGGAATATGAGTAGTAAAATTCACTAACGAAATTGAATGCATTGGGAATGCAGTTAGAGAAGCCTGAGTAAATCTCATTCACTACAATAACATGAACGTAGATAAGTAAGTTTATGAAGCAACTTGCAATTTGAACAGTCTGCTGTTGTTACAAAGCCTAAGAATGGCTACCACAAGTACTAATGTCGGTTGGAAAAGACATCAGATTTAATGCAAAAGTATGTGGCAGCCTTATGGTCATTATCTTTAACAGTTCTTACTTGTCTACTTACTGAGGAATAAAAATTAGTATAATAACCGATGTGATGTGTCATCTTAATGAAATTAAAATGAAACATATTAAGCGAACTTCTTAAATTTACTTGCAACAGTCATCTGAAGATATAAATCTAGATGTATTCCTTTTTACCCTTTTGTGAGCCTAGTTCGTAGGTCTAAAATGTATCCATGAGTTCTTCCGTCCGCAGGATGGATACTGGACTCCGCAAACTAACGCTCCTGCAGCAAAATCTAATCTGCAATAAACAAGTTAACTTGTACTTGAAAACCATTACTAAATTTATAGTTACACAATCAAATTCTAGAATAAGGGGAATCCATAGTGAGTCTGCTATAGTGTCCACTTCTGAGTCGGTCGAGTTCATGGCGGACTTTGGTGCACCAAGAGTGTTATCGGGGTTTGTAATACAGATTCTATTGGTACAGTCAGTGATTGCGTTGGTACTCGGAACAAGTTTACTTTTGGTGTAGACAGACACACTACTTGTCAATACAGGAGGTAGGTGATGGATCACTTCATATAAACAATATCAATTAGTAAGTCGGCTCCTTCCTAATTCTCAATAATGATCAAAGATGAACTTGTGGGCTAGGGGTAGAAATAGGTTACCAGGAAGACTTTTTGAAGTGAACATTGATCATGGGGCCCTGAAGAAGGTTAACAACATTGTTAAAACACTGAAATTATTACTGGTTCCCAAATGTCAGTCTCTTAAAAGGAAGCCCCCCCCCCCCCCGTAAAA